ACTGGTCACTATGACACACACTGACCACCAGGGGGCAGACGCTCAATGCAGGAGCTGCCCTCTGGTGGTCAGTGCGCTCCCACATAGGGGAGCTCTGCTCAGCCACAAGCCAGGCTGATGGCTGCCAGTACAGCGGTGGTTGTGGGAGCCTCTCCTGCCTCCTCAGCAGCGCTAAGGATGTCTGACTGTAGTTTAGGCCTGCTCCCCTCTGGCAAGTGGACATCTCCTGAGGGCTGCCGGGCTGCCAGAGGGATGTCTGATTGCCAGCTTAGCCCCAATTTCCTGGGGAGCGGGCCTAAGCCAGCAGGTGGTCATCCCCTGAAGGGTCCCAGACTGCAAGAGGGCAAGGCCGGGCTGAGGGACCCCCCCTTCCCCCCCGAGTGCACAAATTTTTGTGCACCGGGCCTCTAGTATTAGATATAATTGAATACATTATAAGCCATCTTATTCCCTAAAAAATCTTGGAAAAATCGAATTTACTTATTCATATGATTTACATGATTAATGGAATAAATACACTTCAGTTTAGTTTTGTACATAAAGAAATCAATTTATGACAGTGGCTTGAAGAGCTTCTTAAGGCAGATAAGGGTAAAGAAAAATTTTTGAATTTTGTAACAAGAAGAATGGTCCAACAAAAGAATGGACTGCCTCACAGAGTAATGAGGTCCAATTGTTTCAACTGTTGACATGCAGGTTCACTCATCATTTGACAGTGGGATTTCTAACAAATGATAATAGCATTGTATTAAAGAACTTCCTGTATATCTCATCTCTGAGAGACTGTGCTTTATGATCTCCCACCCCCATATTCATGTCTTTAAGTATCAAGAGTCTGAAGAGATTATTTCCTATCAGAGTAGGGAGTTGGTGAGAAGTGAGAGAAGTCTTTTTTTTTTCCAATTTCAGCTTATGTTCAATAGTATTTTATATTAGTTTCAGGTGTACAGCATAGTGGTTAGACAATCATATACTTTACAAAGTGTTCCCCTTGATCTTTCAAGTATCCCACTGGGAACCCTACACAGTTATTATAATATTGTTGACTATATTCCCTATGCTTTACTTTACATCCCTGTGACTATTTTGTAACAACCAATTTTCATATCTTTATCTCTTCACATTTTCACCCAGGTCTCCAACCTCCCTCTCCACTAGCTACTATCAGTCAGTTCTCTGTATCTATTAGTCTGTTCCAACTTTTAAAAATTATTTATTTTGTTCTTTTAATTCCACATGTAAGTGAGATCATATGGTATTGGTCTTTCTGTGACTAACTTATTTCACTTAGTATAATACCCTCTAGGGTCCATGCATGCTGTCGCAAATGGTAAAATTTCATTATTTTTTTAATAGTCTATTATATGTACCATCACTTTTTTATCCACTCGGTTATTGATGGGCACTTAAGTTACTTACATATCTTGGCTATTGTAGTGAATATAGAGGTGCATGTATTCTTTCAAATTAGTGTTTTGGTTTTCTTCTGATAAATACTCAGAAGTGGAATTGCTGGGTCATAAGACAGTTCTATTTTTAATTTTTTGAGGAACCTCCACACTGTTTTCCATCCTGGCTGCACCAATCTGCATTTCCACCAATGGTGTACGAGGATTCCCTTTTCTATACATCCTCACCAATACTAGCTGTAAGTTGATTTATTGAATAGCCATTCTGACAGGTATGAGGTGATATATCATTGTGGTTTTAATTTTCATACCTCTGATGATTAGTGACATTGGAGATAAAAGACCTGTACTTGGAAAATTATGGCACGGAAGAAAGAAATTGAAGAAGTTTCAAATAAGTAGAAGCATAAACTGTGCTCAAGGATAAGAAGAATTAACATTATTAAAATGTCCATACTACCCAAAGCAATCTATAGATTCAATGAAATTCCTATCAAAATATCAATGGCATATTTCACAGAACTAGAACAAATAATTCAAAAATATATGGAACCACAAAAGACCCCGAATAGCCTCAGCAATCTTACAAAAGAAAAACAAAATTGGGGGTATCATGCTACCCAAATATCAAATTATTCTACAAGGCCATAATAATCAAAATAGCATAGTACTGGCATAAAAACAGACATATAGATCAATGGAACAGAATAGAGAGCCCAGAAATAAACCCACACCTATATGGTTAATTAATATTTGGCAAAGGAGGCAAGAACATACAGAGTGTCCCCCAAAATGTACACACACTTTAACAGCTGATAGCGCAGTTTTGAAAATAAAATGTATTTTAATAAACACTGCCTTTAGAATTATTTAAAGTGTGGGTATACACTTTTTGGGACACCCTATACAATGCTGTAAAAACAATCTGTTCAATAAATGGTGTTGGGAAGGCAGGGAGGGAGAGAGAGAGAAACATCGATGTGAGAGAGAGACATTTATTGGTTGCCCCCCACACATGCCCTCACTGGGTGGGGTATCAAAACTGCAACCCAGGTACATACCCTTGACCAGGAACTGAACCTTGGCCCTTTGACACCTGGCCTGAATCTCTATCCACTGAGTCACACTGGCCAGAGGTAGACATAATATTTTTATCAAGTATTTTAGGAATAGGTTTCTAGTCTTTTTCATGAAACGCCCAGCAATCAGGGCTGAGAAATCAAAATGCTATTGAATCCATAACAGTGATTGTGGCCAACACCAGTGGTGACTCTGTGTGCTGAAAACTCCAGAGATGAAGCAGAGCAAGGAGCAGGAAGTGAGGCAATGTGAGTACTCCACTGTGAGTTCATGGCCACACCCCAACGTATTTCTGGAATGTGCATGTGACATCTATTCACATTATTGCTATCTTTATACTCTCCAGGATATACCAAATAAAGCAACAACTCCAAATTAGTCTGCTTTAGAAAATTAATTCAAATAGATGATAAAATTGAGTATTGCTTATATACAAAATAGAACTCGGAGGCCCTTTTGGGACTTGACATAACTTGGGATGAAACTAGTGTTCTGGGGTGTTTTGACTAGTTGACTTGCTCTAACCCCTCTTAGAATGAGTCCTTCCCGGCCCTGAGAAGCAGTGCAATGTGTGTCTTCCTTAAAAACAGGTAAAAGTATAATTTTGGAATAGTTTTTTGTGGTTTTTTTTGTTTTTGTTTTTTTTTTGGTGGAGCAGATGAATCTATCTATACTGATCTACCATTAATCTTTTGTTTATCAGGTTTATGCCTAAAGGTGTATAAAAGGGCAATCAGCTGAGATGCCAGCACAGCCTACGGGGATTGAAGCCAGGGTTGGGGCTATGTACTCACTAGGTTTTAATCAATTGCTGCTAATATCAAACAGATCCCTGGTATACAGAGTATCTAGCTTGCTTGGCATTCTGATTTGAAGAATTCCTCCTTCCCAAACTCACTGACTTGTTGCTAGAGCCTCCCAATCAGCGCCATTCCAATTGTATTTCCTGGAGAAGAGAACCCGGGTATTAGAAGTAATTTTTCTTTCCTCTTCATCAATTTCCATCAATAAAACCCAGGAATGATCAGTGAATGTTTATATGTCTTTGCTTGGTTCTATTAGGACTATCCTGAGACACTTCCCTGGGCGTCCCTAAGCAGCCGCTGCTCACTTAGAACAGAGCATGCTCTTATCTAAGAAGGTTGTGCAGTTATCTTCAGGAGGCGGTCTTTGCTAATCTGGCTTTCAATTTGTAAAGAAAGTTGATTCCTTGTGGATTTTGCTCTAAAATTTAACTCTCGGGCAGTTAAAGCCTCTTTATCCAAACTGAGTCACTCTTTAATGAGGTCCCTTTATAACCACTCCAAAACGCACTTTCAAAACAAAAGTTAGAAAGCTGTAGGACCCATTCTCAAGAAAGATCTGTTTCTGTTCAAAACCCGCCCTGACCTTTTTGTTGAAGACGAACAAAATAATGTAGTAACAAAAACACAAGTGGCTGCCAAAGGAAGAGAGAAAAAAAAAAAGTTCCTGTAAGGGACTGAAACAATAAATCTCCTCTCTGCTGAACTCCCCAAGGGAGTGTGTGTATTTCCTCCCGTTCTTTATCACAGCCCCCGAAATAAGGAGGAATGGGCAGTGGCTGTTCACAGTCCGCACACCTTTTCCATTTGCTAATCGGGCCCTGCCAGGCTGGGAGGGAGTTGTCCCTGGCTGACACCGGAGCGAGGAGCCACGGCGACAATCCACAGGCACCATGAAACTGCTTCAAGTGACCGTCCTTTGCCTTCTGTCCAGCGTTGGTAGCAGTGAAGACAACATAGGTACCATTTTCTCTTATTTCTCTAACGGTGTGTATCAGATGTCCCTCAGAGGGGCTGTTAGCCTCAGTTTCCCATCAAGGAGCTTCCCCTGAAACTTAGAGGTGGGGGATTCATTTTCCTGCGTGAAATGTGTGGGTGTTGACTGTGAGTGCATAGAGAAGGCTCTACAGGGAGAATGTTTGTTTCCACTGAAGGGAAATGTTCGCTCCTGCAGGGGCCTTGAAGTGCCGTTGATGGCATCATAAAGGTACTGGGAATATAGAATGACCTTTTTAGAGAATAAAAATCTGGGGATTAAGTGCTGGTTTAAAATGGTCTCTTTTCAGACATGAGTCAAGAAATCACAAGCTTGTCATGTATGTGTGAAAGGCTATAACTGGAAATATCGCATTGCAGATGCTGGCCTATATTTGCCCCTACTATAGTAGGCTCTAATAAATTGAGAGGTTGAGTAAAGCTATATAGGAAAATGAACTATAATATCTTGAGAATATGTGGTGGGTAAAGAGATTTGTTTGATTAAAGTTTATAGATATTTGCTCCAGAAATATGCACATACCTACACACAACATTCTGCATAACATTTCAGGGGATTATTCATAAAAACCTTACCCATTGACTGTAGGTTTTGAAACTCAGATAAAGGTTATCTATGTACCTACATGAGCCCTAAGTATATTAATGACCAGTTGCAAACAAATGATTACATTTTACTTGTAACCCTTTCAGAGGGATTCATAGTAAGCAGTTACATTAATCAATATTTATAGGCTCCTACCATGTTCTCAGCGGGGCAAGGAATGAAAAATGAGCAAGACCTCGTTTTTGTCCACAGCAGAGAATGTGCTATTGGGATAAGTAAGCATGTAAGTCTAATACAAGACAGATTTAATGCCTGACAGAACAAAATACAGACTATCATAGAACACGGGTGGGAGAGATTGATTCTGACGGGTCCTGGGCGGGGGAGGGGGACACACCTCCGTTCTGACTTAATTTCACTAGTGCTCTTTTAAAAAGTTTGCTTCCTATAAAACTTGAATATCCAGTGATAATGTAGAAAAAAAATAAGCACACTCCTTCCTGAAAAACTTGTATCATTAATTTCTCAAGTGTATTTGTAAATCACATATGATGGCTTACCATGCATCTTGAAGTTTTCAGGGTTAAGTTTCCGTGACTGTCAAGGCCCTAAAATTGACTTGGAAGACTTGCTAAGAATCTGATTTCTTAAAATAAAGAGTATGGATGAGGTGTCCCAGAAATCAATGCACTCACACTCCCTTAGAAGTAACCCTTCAGTATGCACGGGGATCGGGGGGCGGAGGGGGGTGATTAATAAGAATCCTGATGCATGGAAAGCACTGCTCACAAACAGGTGTCAGGTCAGTATACTTTCTGAAAGGCTGGGTTGGGCTGCTGAGCATTTCAGGTCTGCGAGCATCCGTGAGGACACTGCTTTCCTGGCATCATTAAACTCTGAATGAATTACATGTCTTTCTGAAAGCAAAGGGGAATAGGATCAATAGGATCAAGCAGCCTGCAAAATCCAGGCATTAGGAAGATGGAAAGGTGAAGGACAACCCAGAGATGACCTGGCAGATTTTTCTACCTGGTCATTTTTTGGGAGAATACCAACCTCCGTTAGCTTGCCGGTAATGAGCCTAATCTCTCTGTTAATGGTGTCTTCTTTCTAATGAACTATTTACCCAAGTCCGGTAATTTCCCTTTGGAGCCCAGACAACAGTTACATAATGACCATCTTCTTCAACCACTGTCAACAAACCTATCTGTTAACTTCAAGCCAGTGTTTGTAAAAACCACTCCATGTATCTTAGAAAAGAAAGCTCTAGCTTGGGAGCATAATTCGACCACCTGAGCGGTGCCTAGGAGTTGGAGAGGTTTTCCCATTCACGTGTATGATTTTTTTGCACCTGGTTCTGCCTGTTTTATGTTTTCCTTCCCAGATATGGGGCAGGAAATGAAGCATTTCCTAAGCTGATTTAGTACGTTTCCCCCCCTAACCCTTGCAACCGGAAACACATTGATTTCAAAGCTCTCTATGTTCCCCAAACTTAGAATGCTTAACGTATTTCATCCGCAGAGTTGATTATTGGAGGTGGGGAGGGGAGTATTTCGTGTCTTAAATTCATAAGTTGTCAGGGAGATCCATGCTTTTCTGCATAGTAATTTATTTCTTTAAATAATGATCTTTTAGAGAAATTGACTGCTTTCTTTTTCTTTCTGATGTTTTTATCAGCCTGAGATTTAAATAAATACAATATAGTCTTTTGTGCTCCTTGTGAAAATCAAGGGGATCTTTCTACTTGGCAGTGAATTACTTTTTATTACTTGGTTGGTGGTATAATATTATACTATCTCCAATTTGGAAAGCTGTTTTGTGAGATATGTATGGGAGGTTCCTGAAAAGGAACTGTCATTCTTTCCTGAGGTTTTCAAATTATATTTCAAACTGAACAGACTCCTACCGTGGCTTTGAGCCCCTTTGGCTTTTAAGTCTCGATCAATGAGCTTTTGACTATTGGGTCTGAGAGAAGTTAAATGAAGAGGGATTCCAAGAAAAGGGAGGCCCTGAAAGCAATTGCCTCTTCAAGTGCCATTTGCTTTTTGAACTTTACACTAATTTAGGAAAGATTAATATGTTTTAGGCATTTGCAGGAAGGAACAAACATCGCTGTATTGATATCTGAGGAAGAATTTAATTGCTTGGAGAAATTCATTTGTTAGTGATTTAACATTCAATTTCATGAAAAAGAGATAGATCATACACACTGAAAGGCATACTATACTAAATGCTGAAGGTTTATAGAGATCAATCAGTCCTTGCCTTAGAAGTGGGGGTTGGGGGGGAAGGAGGACCCAAATAATTATTAGTGTGATTATACTGTAGGCTTTGAGTGGTAAATCAAGAGTGATATGGAAAATTCATAACTAGCTTAGTTTTGGGTATAGGGACATCAGAAATGTCTTCATATAAAAATGGAAATTATCATGAACTATGAATCTTGAAAATGAGGAGGCTCCAGATGAATGTAGCTTCCTGAATAGGAATATTAAACATCAATAGAGTCTAGACTAGCAATGTAAGGCAATCACAGGTTGGACATAGATAAATGTTGGGAAATGAGCTTAGAAATACAGCCTCAGCATATGTTGAATACCAGGATGAGGAATATTGACTCATATAGTTTATTAGTTTAGAGCCTCTAAATGTGTTTGAGTATGGGAATTACATGATTGAGCTATAAATTGGAAAGATTAATCTGTGAGCAGGATAGAGGTTGAATATTGTAGTCAGGAAAGGTAAAAGTTCAAGAAAATAGTTCAAATGTTATTGCAAGTCTAAGAGTCTATCAATAAAATGAAAAGATAGGTCTGGGGAAAAGTTATAAGGAAGTAGAAACTGTGATTTGACATGTTATTGACTGGCAATGAGGGAGAAAGTGACTGAGGTGTACAGAGAGGGTGATTTTAATAATACAAGTAGGGAAATGACTTGGGAGTAGACATAGGGATAGATAGATGGTTTAGAGAGAAAAAATGATGTATTTGTTTGGGACATAGTGAGTTTGAAATCCTAATAAGATTTTCAAATAGAGAAATCCAGTGAAATTGAAATTGTCTAGTAGGTAGTTGGAATGTCTCTGGAGCTGGAAGTGATAGTGAGGGAATGAATTTTCTTTACTCTAGATCCCAAGAATTTTTAATCATGCCCATTGTAAGATGAATAATATAGAGCAGGGGTCCTCAAACTACGGCCCATGGGCCACATGCACATACAAATATTGTATTTGTTCCCGTTTTGTTTTTTTACTTCAAAATAAGATATGTGAAGTGTGCATAGGAATTTGTTCATAGTTTTTTTTTAAACTATACTCCGGCCCTCCAACGGTCTGAGGGACAGTGAACTGGCCCCCTGTTTAAAAAGTTTGAGGACCCCTGATATAGAGAAACAATTTATGTCTCTTCTGGATGCTCATATTTCTTAGTCTTATGGCACTTGTTTTCCAAATCTGTCACAGTTATTTGTGTGTATCTCTTATCTCCTTTACCAGACTACAAGTGCTTTGAAAGTAAGGTACATATTTAATATTGTTTGTTTATTTAGTAACAGTTCTAAACACATCAGGATATAATTTGCTAAATGAATGCATAAATGAATGATATAGTTTTCCTCTTATTTTTTTTTTATTTTTCATTTCTTCCTATCACAGTAACTTACCAGATTATTGCCTAGTCCTAGTCCTTGGGAAAAGGTTATGGACAGGTATGAATAACAGAACATAAGATAGATACAAGTGGATTATTTTGATTCTTAGCTATGAAAGTAAGCATCAAATATAGGGAAAGGAGCTTCTTATAAAAGGTAAGTCAATTCCCAAACTTCAGCAGAAGAGATGATAGGGATAAATGGACAACCCAGTGCCAGATAATAGTAATTTAAAAAATCTGGAAGAAGGAACTGCCATGACTATAATCATTTTGAGGAAGAATATCTAAATAGAATTGACTCTACTTATTTTTCCTTTGGGGGCATCAAATACTTTATATAACATTTTCTTGTAGTAAGAATTATTCTAAACCAACTTCCCAAAGATACAGAATGGATTTCTATAAAAACAAAGTTCACAAAAAGAGAAGTTGGAAGAAAGTTAAGTAAATACTATACATTATTAATTCCTGTATTACCTTAAGTAACATATGAGTTGCTTTAGTGATCATTTTACTTATAACTTCTGTTTAGCATAATTACTCTCAACAGAGCTTACCTAAAATGAGGGATCTAGTACAAGAAGAGTGAACTGATATGGAAATAAACCCAATGGGAAAAGTATTCAGTCCTTGATCCTTTTGTTTAGCATTCTTTCTTCACTACTTATGTTTTAATAGTCTCTACCTAAAGGTTGACATGATCATCCTAGAATTCTCTGGCAATTTTATTCTTCTGATTGTAATTATTCAGATATTGAGAAAAAACAATGAGCAGTTGAGGGTCTCAGAAAAGT